CCCCCGCCTCCCCTCAGAAGAGACTCACCCCGCAAGACTGACTATGCGATTGACTCTTTATGTAAATGAAGATTTATTTACTACAGGCTCTGGGCCGGGAAAAGTGACGCTTCTAATCAATCGCTGCAGGGTGGGGCGGCGCGTTGGGGGGGGGTGGGGCTCTCTAAACCCGCTCCCCCCCCACCCCCCAAGTGTTTATAGGAAGAGACACAGGTGGAGCAGCGTTCCCAGCAGCGGCGCCGGCACGGCTCGCGGGAGGATCCGGCGTGGTTAACGCTCCACCGGGGGCCGTCGGCTTTTGCTGGCTCGCGGCGGGCCCTGAACGACAGCCAGGCCCCCGCTCTGGAAATGCCGCCAGAGAGCCAATTGTGGTTTCAAATAAAAGGAGGAAGGAGAGCTCAGAAGCCAATAAAGGACTTTGCTCACTTATCCTGCTGTTAAGCAGGTAGGCAGGCTGCACACACAGTCACCCCTGGGGTAGATAAAGTTTATATACATCCATGTCTTCCAGGTGCAGTCGGACGTTACTTTTCATCACAGCAAATACCGTTTTATCTCAGATATTAAAACATTTTTATAAGCCTACTAACTGAATAGAGGGTTAGTGTGGTTTAATGCATCAGGATGCCCTGGATTGGGAGGTTGCTGGTTCAAATCCCAGAGTTGGCAGAATGATTTCACTGTTCATCCGCTAAACAAATGCAAAATAAAAAATCACTAATGGACCCATTCACCAAGTCACGGGCCCGAGAAACGTGCTCAGTGGTCCGGTCCGTGCCGAGAGTCACAGCATCGTTCAGATTCGGACAGTTTTAATGGGGAGTTGGGAGGGAGATTGTGGCAGCGTTTGCTTAAGTCTTCCGCTAATTGCCCCCCCATGTAACCATCCCTCTATGGGGCGACTAGCCTCTCATGCACACACTCGACATATCAGGCTCTCCAGTGAGACACGAGGACTCCGACAGCCATATTTACACGAGGCTGGGCCTCTCTGTCAGCCAGAAGGTGCCACGCAGGCCTAATGCAAATGGACATGGTCGTCTTGACACCAAGGGCAGAAGGCTTTATGGGTAATACCGCTATTCATAAACCCTGTTCATAAAAGCTATTCATAACCCTTAACCGTGAGTCACCCCCCCGCCCCTTCCTGTCGATCACGGCCAAACCTCGCGCTTGGTGACGGCCCGTTTCAGCTGGCTGGATTCTGCTGCGTCCTCAAGGAGACGTCGGTCGGCGCCCCCTGGGGGTTATAAAACACCCCACGCGGCGTGACGCCCCGCCGGCCCCCCGCGCCGCGGAACACGGCGCCCCCCCCCCCCGCCCATTTCCCCGTGCCCTTTTCACTTTATGTACATAATAAGAGGAGACGTGTGCAGATAATTTACAGCGGCAGGGGGATTAAAATCAGAGCTGGGACCCAGCAGGCACCTCACAGGGCTCCTTCACCTTTGGTAAAGCCCCCCCCCTTCCCTGCATTGCGTGGTGCTGGCGGTCACACCCGTGAACTTTGACCCCGCTGACAGTCCAGACACTTGCTGCATAAACTTCATCTGATCTGACTTCATGTAAATATGCCGGCTTTCCTGATGTCACTGTTCTAAAGCTGCAACACAGAGCAGCTAAGCAGTCATAGGCGATACCCCTCCATGCCCGGGGCGTCACCTGCCCCCCTCCATGCCCGGGGCGTCACCTGCCCCCCTCCATGCCCACCTCCTCTGCGGCTCATGGATGCCACCCAGCCCAGTGTGGGGGTCCGGCTACGCGACCCGACACCGAAAACCTCTCGCAGGAGAAACTAGGAACGGCAAACGCATCAGCGAGATCTCAGGCGGAAAACACGGGAGGTGAGGGCAAACTCGACGGCGTGGCCCCCGTAAGCTTCTGCGGGACCTCGGTGCCGTCGCTCCGCACCGCGAACCCCACCCCCCGCCTGGGCCGCAGCAGGAATCCGGGCCCCCGGCCGCCCACTTCAAAGACGAAAGGAAAAAAAATTAAAAACTAATCTAACCTAGTTTATGACAACAATCCACCTCTGAAACTCATTAAAGGTCTTTCTGTTAGCACTGACGCACATTATCAGCACAGATTAATCAGCGGAGACTTTAGATGAACTCTATTTTTTAAAAAGCGGTAACAGAGGGCTTTTTTGTCTTCAGATGAAAATCAATTAGTGGAGGTAAGGCCACAAGGAAAACGTGCATCAGTCACGGCGAGCCAGCAGCGGCCCCGCGATCCGTCTTCCGAGCCTGGCTGATCAGGCGCTGCCATCCCATCTCCCAGGAAATTAATTTCGTATCTATATTCGGGGCCCACTTTTCTCCTTTGGAGGACCCGTACACAAATTACTTCTAATCAAGGCTGAGCCCCTGTCGGAGGGCAGGGACAAAGGGCCTAGGGCTTTACAGGACTGGGCCCGGGACCGGGACCAGGACCGGGACAAGGACCGGGACAAGGACCGGGACCAGTACCGGGACAAGGACCGGGACCCGGGGAGACCCGAGGCGCCTACTCACCGGCCAGACTCCTTGTCCAGAACCAGGCAACGAACCGAGTGGCGAAGACAGTAGGTTCCCCCGAAGACAGCACACATCCTGGGGGGGACAGAGAGGGTACAGGGTTACTGGGAGGGACTGGGAGCAGACGTGCCACTCTCCCTAAACTGGAAAGGACATCAGTGTCAAAGCCGACTGTCAACAGGTTAGGACACTGTCTGTGATCAGAGGGTTATAGGTTCAAATCCCACGGCTGGAAGAGTGATGTCACCGTTAGACCCTTAATCCCTACATGGCCCTGCTCTCTCAAAGACGCATGTCGCCTTGCGAAATAAATAAAATGTAAAACGTAAATTTGGGGAAGAACCCGCGTCTGACGGCGCGGTCAAAGGGACACAGAGCTTCCCAGCTGGCCACTGATCCCCTGCCTTCGCGAAGGAGGGGGGCACAGAACCAGGGATTCCACATGCCAGCACACCGCCAACAGAGAGATGGGGGGGGTCAGGGAGAGATCTGAACCTGGAGACAGGGGCTGACCCCCCCAAGCCGCTCTGTACCTGCCTGAGTCTCTTTATATTAATCATGAGACATGACATCTTAATAAAGTGCTGGGGATGGAATCGCAGGCGATCATGGGACACATCTCATGTCCCGAACAAAGGCTCCGTTCAGCGCCGCTGAGCGCCTTTGATGCCATTAACCCCGACTGACGGACGCTTAAGCCGATATTACTCTAATTAACTGGCCGCTGTCCCCCGCGATGATGCGCGCGGCGACTCAAAGGAGCCCGCCCCCGCTGCCGTGGCAGTGCCCCGCATCACCGCTAAATTAACAGTCGCGAAAACGGGGCCCCGTGCGGCCCCCGCTCTTTACAGCCTCTAAATGCCATTTCAGTTCCTATCAAGCCGCCTATCTGGGATGTGAGTTTTTTAATACGGTGGCAAAACAATAGAAGGCATTAATAGCTGTGCCCGTGTCAGCTCGCGCGCCGATGATTTATGAGTTTGTGTTTAATTTGATTATTCTATTAATTCTGCTGATTACAGGCGCGGCTAATGTGGAGAAGGTCACATCCAAAATAAATCTGCCTCCTGCCCAGTATTAACCCCCACGCAAAACAATTGCCTCCAACCAGTCATTTCTGTAATTAAAAAGGCAATGTAACGGGAGTAGAATACAGGCTTCAGGCTCCTGTGGCACCAGCTGGGCGCTACTGAGTGGAGAATTTTCCAGGCACTGGGTCCCTGAATCCATCCGGGCTCCTCATTTAAAGGACATCTTCTCCCTTGGGAGTGGGTCACAGGCTGCAGACGGCTCCGCAGATCCAGGTCCTGTGTCAGATTAGCAGTGGCCCAGATTAGCAGTTTTCTCGGTCCCACCTACGCCCTCCTCCGCCCGGGGCCGCCCTCCTCCCCCCGGGGCCGCCCTCCTCTCCCCGGGGCCGCCCTCCTCCGCCCGGGGCCGCCCTCCTCCCCCCGGGGCCGCTCTCCTCCCCCCGGGGCCGCCCTCCTCTCCCCGGGGCCGCCCTCCTCCGCCCGGTGCCGCTCTCCTCCACCCGGGGCCATCCTCATCTCCCCGGGGCCGCCCTCCTCCGCCCGGGGCCGCCCTCCTCTCCCCGGGGCCGCCCTCCTCCGCCCGGGGCCGCCCTCCTCTTCCTGGGGCCGCCCTCCTCCGCCCGGGGCCGCCCTCCTCTCCCCGGGGCCGCCCTCCTCTCCCCGGGGCCGCCCTCCTCTCCCCGGGGCCGCCCTCCTCCACCCGGGGCCGCCCTCATCTCCCCGGGGCCACCCTCCCCTCACCGGCCTCAGCGAAAGCCGCTGATGCTGCCTGATTTTAAACACAGCTGCTGCCTTTACTTGTGAGTTTTATAATTGATCCTCTCCAGCCCATAATAACAGATGTATTTCCCAGCATTTCCCAGCTCACAGTCGATTACGCTGCACAATTAAGCCCATTAATGTGAACGATCTCCGCCGAGTCCCCAGTGAGCTCACTGAGCTCCGGGCAAAGCCGGGCAGGGCCTGGGGCTGTGCCCCGGCTCTATGCACACGCCGCCTGCGCTGCAGCGGGTTAACAAAACCACGGGTCCTCCCGGCCACACAGAGCCGCCCGCAATTCCGAACCCGATCACCGGGGAGAGATTTAGGGGTCCTGAGAGGGATTCTACAGCCAAGTGGTTTACAAGCATTTGTGGGCGTAGGGCATAAATCCCGGCACGTCCAGGAAATGCTAAATAAACAAAATTACAGCACATAAACAGGCACTACCTGTCAAGTTCATTACTGGATTCATACGGCTCTAATCTGGCGAGCCGGGCGCAGGAGCGGGGACTAATAGCTGGCCCGTAATTAAACGAAAACAAAACTCCGCCGTGCATCGCCAGTCGTTCGGAGAAAATTAAATCCAGTTTGATCCAAATATATCAGGTGTTTATGACCCCTGCAGGGGAAATATGATCTGTGACTGCATACAGCGCGGGGAAGAAATAAATAAGAATAAATAATCTGTACTAATGACTGCAATTCCTCCTCCCTCTATGCGCTTCACTCTGACTGTAGTCTGATTGGAACATCATAACCCAGCATGCAAATCACCACCGTGTCATGGCTAAATACCCCCCCCCCCACTCCACCCCCGTAACCCCCCCCCAGGCGCCCCCACCTGCTTTGGTGGATGGAGGCGAGGAGGAGGGAGCCACTGAACCAAAGGTTATGTACAAATTAAAAAGTCTTTTCCTGTCAAAACTTGAGGAATAATATGGGCAAGGACAGAGAGGCACTGGGCGGCTTTATTAGAGGGACTGCTCGCTGATCTGTGAACAACCTGGCGTGGGGATTATCCGCTCCGCACCTCCATCTATCCATCCATCACCAGCGAGCAGGCTTCAG